TCTATCTGTCTTTCTATCTATCTAACTATCTTGCTACCTGTCTATATTCTATCTATCTATCTATCTACCTATCTATCTATCTGTCTGTCTGTCTGTCTATCTATCTACCAATCTATCAATCTATCAATCTATCAATCTATCAATCTATCTATCTATCTATCGATCTAGCGATATATCGATCTATCGATCTATCTATCTATCGATCTATCGATCTATCGATCTATTGATCTATCGATCTATCGATCTATCGATCTATCTATCTATCGATCTATGTATCTATGTATCTATCTATCCATCTATCCATCTATCTATCTATCTTTCTATCTATCTATCTATCTATCTATCTATCTATCTATCTATCTATCTATCTATCTAATCAATCCCTCTCTCTCATCTCATTACCTATCTACCTATATGTCTATCTATCTATCTATCTATCTTATCTTATGTATCTTATCTATCTGTCCATCTATCTACCTACCGAACTATCTATCTATCTATCTTTCTTTCTATCAATCTATCTATCTACCTAGCTACCTCTATCCATCTATCTATCTGTCCATCCATCGATTTATTTATCTTCGTACCCATCTACCTATCTACCTATCCACACATCTACCTATCAATCCATCCATCCATCCATCCATCTATCTGACCATCTTGGCTATCTATTTGTCCCAAAGCTTTTTTTCCCGGCAGATCGCAACGCGATCAGCAGACCAAACGACATCGGTACGGCAACGTGACACTGCGCCTTTGTGCTGTCAGAAAAAACACACACGGAAGGCTGCAAAGAAAATGGAGAGCAGGAAACGGACTTTTGACAAGGCTTCTGAACGTCCAAAAGTGCTCCGTACCCCACAGTTTTTTGCGCGTTTGACTTCGAAATGAGCTTCGCGCCACAACCGCGTGCACTTTTTCAACATCTCAACTTCCAAAAGTGCTCTGAACCTGTCAGTTTTTTACACTTGTGACTTCGAAATGTGCTTCGCGCCACAACGGCATGCACTTTTTCGACATCTCAACTTCCAAAAGTGCTCTGAACCCCTCAGTTTTTTTACACTTTTGACTTCGAAATGTGCTTCGCGCCACAACCGCATGCACTTTTTCGACATCTCAACTTCCAAAAGTGGTCCGGTGTTTTTATGTGCTTTTAACATGTTGACTTCGAAATGTGCTTCGCGCCACAACGGTGTGCACTTGTTCGACATCTCAACTTCCAAAAGTGCTCTGAACCCGTCAGTTTTTTACACTTCTGACTTCGAAATGTGCTTCGCGCCACAACGGCGCGCACTTGTTCGACATCTACACTTCCGAAAGTGGTCCGAACATGTAGTGCCTTCAACATTTTGACTTCGAAATGTGCTTCGCGCCACAACGGCGTGCAACTTTTCATTTCTCATCTCCCCAGATGTCTCCGCACCCGCCGCTTTAGCGAGCCTACCTTTCGACCCTCCGGAGCCCCAAATCATTGGAAAAACACAGTGTTTCGCGACTTTCCTACCTTTTCTCGCATCTGCATCTTCTTTCTTCTTACTCTTTCTCTTCTACTCTTCTTTCTTCTAATCTTTCTCTTCTCTTCTTTGACTCTTACCACCTCTGCTTTTCATCTGTCCATATTGTAGGAAGTTTGACTTCTAAACTTCCTTCGATTACAGATACATAGATATGGGGATATGATTGGGATGTGCTGAGAATAGAATGCGATACAGTCGCTGATTTAGGCGATGGACCACACATTGACGGGCATTTGAAAGGGGAACATAATCTCAAACTGGATTTGTTGCTGCCCACTGTTCAGACGAACTATATGTGGCGGATGAATGGAACCAACAGAGGAATGTTGCAGTGCAAACCAAACATAATCTTGTTGACAAAAATGGGATGCAACGAACAAGCAAGACACCAACATATATTGTGCGGCAAAAATGGGCACATGGTAGAAACAAAAACCCAACAAAACGGAGGTGGCAACACCTGACCTACAGGCAACGTTGCATGTTCGCTGGGTGGCGAATAAGCCCAGGCACCAACAAACACGATCACGATCTTGATTGAAATCATAAGTTTGGTTCGAGATAATGCCCAAAATTCATGAAAAATCTGTGTTTTATCAGACTGTTTCTCGTTTGAATTGCGATTTTGGGATACGCCATCTGGCCGGGGCAAAATTGGATGATAAATACTGATGAAAAGTTCATCTGCGGTGCTGGAAAAATCTTGACCCATACCTTTGTGGTTTGTAGTTACTGACAATTTGTAGTGACTAATCCCATCTCCCTAATGTGAAATACCTCTGATAATGGACCCCAAAATGTTCAAATCCACAACGGATCCAAGTTTTTGGTGGTGGTATTTAATATTAGGAGGAAGGGATTCTCGAGATGACCTGCAAAGGCTACTGGGCATGGTCCCAATGTTTGATTCACTGTGAATGGTTGCGTTAGACGCTGACACACAATGGATGCCCAGCACATCCTCTACTCTATTCGCTTTGTTCGGAGTTGTTCAGCTCAAGTCCAAGCGTATTTGGATGTTGTAGCAACCATGCAAATCAACAACAAGCTATACCCTCCAGCAACCAATCCCGGCAGTGGGAAAAATATATTGCAAATACATAACATATTATCATCAACAAATGAACATTTTCTATCGGCAAACTTGACTACCAACAGTCATTGGGGATCATCCTCCCATGTTTGAACATGAAACGTAGTTGAAACCACCATGCAACAGAACCAATGAAGTTTATTCTTCATAATTTATATACAAAATATCTATAGTTAATTCATAATAATAGTATTTTAATTCATAATTTATAGTTAATGTGTAATTCATTGTAATTCTATATATATATAAAATAATTATATATATATATATACACCTGCACAAACCCATGCTACATCAGCATTTTGATGGGGTAAAAGAAACATGGCACCAGATCAGGTTGTTTTGGATGTTCCTCCCCATGCTTCGTTTTCGATCCCGCCTTCTTGCCTTCCGTAGCTGCCGTCCTTCAGAGATCTCCAGTACTTCAATCAGTTCAATCCTTGAATCCCACTTCAGCATTAGTTGGAACTTGGCATATTGTTTTCTGCATTGATTACAATGTGTGCCTCTTCCGCTAGAAGTTGATTTGTACAACCAATCAAACTATGGAGTCATATCGATATATCATATAACCATAAACACATTAACATCCGTGAAACATAGCACAGTAACATATGATAAGCCTGGTTTTGAAACAAATATACTTGTCTTTTTGGGGCCCACGTTTCAAGTCAGCCCACAGTGCAGCACGCCACCGTCCTCTTCTCTGGATCATCGTCCTGGTCCGACTCCGACAACGACACCAGCGAAGCTCCATCCTGGCAACGCATCTTCGATTGGAAGGACCACGGAAACCTGTGAAAACCAATGGAACACCATTGAACAACAACAAAGGAAAAACAAAAAGTGGAAACTCGTTCTAGAAACGCAATGTTTATTTTTTTGGGCCAGGATACAGGCTAACAAAAAATGTGAGTGGGGGGGGGGTGTCCATAATATACGCCCCAATTATGAACAATTATAGGACCCAATCTGTGGGCGACATGACAACTCTTTGCATCAAAAGTAACTCAAGTTCCCCAGGAAAAATCATCATTTTCTTTCCTTCATCCGCATCCGCGATGGGATGATCATAGGCTGTTCATGGCTGCTCCAAATGAATTCATCGACTTTCGTCTGCGTCTGGGCCGGAAAAACATGTGGCCATTTTCACCAGTTGGATCATCCCAGTGATAGGCTGACGCCCCTTGCCGCACTACGTTTGCAGTGGGCACCCGTCGGGAACGCCGCGACGGGGAGTGTTAAAAGTCTGAAGGACTCGCACGACATGGATTTCATGGGAAAGTCATGGGAAAAAATGTGGAAACCAGAGTGAAATGTATCTGTATAAACCAGAAATTCCATGTTGAAAACCAGTTATGGTATCAATGTTAACTAACTTACCACACGTACCTACACTTGGAGGCCCAAAATCCAGGAACTTAGTGTAATATCCCACACAAAGATTTGCCTTGACTTAAGATGGACTTAAGGGCTTTATAAAAGGACTTCGGGAAGTTAATTTGAAGTTATGTTAAGTTATGTTAAAGGTTTTGTAAGTTAAGTTATATGTTGTATATTTTTGTTGGTGTTAAAATTTGCATTGTTTTGCAATTGTAATGTGGTTTTGGGAAGTTCCGTTTTTCCCGCTGCATGTCGTTTCCTTAGCTTTTGATCTCGGCATGTGAAGAGTTTCTGGCAAAAACAGCGGTTCGGGTGAACTTGAGCAAGAAAAACAGCTACGGATTTGAGTCTTGAGACACGTTTTTAACACATACGCGTTTCCAAGCACGATGAGAGCTGGAAACACAATTCCGTTCCCTTGCCATTTTGGTATTTTCATTGCACATACGCGTTTCCATGTTTTTGTGGCAACACATCCCGAATATCGAGATTCTTGAGCACCATGTGTATAGATGTGGCAACACATCTATAACACATACGTGTTTAAAATCGCTTTTTATGTCTCTGTGTGGAAGCACATACGTATTTACTTATTCTGGAAGTGTAAAATCTAAGAAACACATGCGCGTTTGATTGTTTGAGGAAGCACATTCGCGTTCCACGCCAACCTTCTCTCATCTTCTCTAAAACAACAGGAAACGCCAGGATTTGAAGTCCTGCAGCGTCGCTCTCTGTGCTATCACATTTCAGCTGCAGCCATGCTTCCCGTGAAATTGTGCTCCACTTTTCCTGCCATACAAACACATCCGTTTCCAGGCCAAAGAGCAGCTATCTTTGCTAATTAACTTGTTTGTATTTTTTGGATGTATCTGCTATCTGATATTATATCTCCCTATCCATTGATATAACTTTAACATGAACGATACAAGTTACCACCATTTATAAATATGTATACTTGAACCATGTTGTAAAATTAAATGTACAACAAAAAATGATTTGGATGTCAAGGGAAAACATTGCAGTTTTATATCCCACTGTGAATGGTGTGATATATCAGCAGCTACCAGTGCAGGGATCATCCCAACATCAGCGCTGCTCACTGTCGCGAGATGCGAGTTGCCAGGTCCAGGTCTGCAGCGTCAAATTTGGAAGGTGTGACAGGTCGGTACCAATTTTGCGAATGGCTTAAACTTAGAGCACCAAAAAATGTGGGATGATTGACTCTCAAAATTACCAGTCAACGTGGTTCAAGAGTACAATTGCAATTGCAAGTACTATACCGGTGACGTAGTCAGCAAGAAGAGGAATGAACAAAAACTGGGAAAATGGTCAGCATCCGCAGCTAGTACCCGAGCTCTGGCTTGTCCCTGCAGTTGGTTGCGATAGAAATCACTTCACTATCTTACAGTTACAGCTGGGCACTGATCAAAATGAGAAATTTCCTGATATGGCTATGGGTCAAAATTAGGTACCCCAAAATTATGGATGGTTAATACTAAACTAGACATTTCCATCTGTGGTCCCACATCGGTCTTCCATTTTGACCCACATCCATATGGATTGTTCAAGAGCGGTAAACTTGTCGATCCCAGAGTATCTTGTCCACATGGCACATGATTCAAGTTGGCGTAATTCTTGGTGCCATTTTCTTCATGGCCCCAACATCAATATACGAATGTCCCTCAGCAGCACCTTGCTTTTCAATGATACCCACGTAGTATTTATTGACTATGAAGAGATGGTGACATTGACATCAAGCAGAGGCAAAACAAACACTATACTTCTCTTGGTTGTGCGTTTCCTCTAGTTTTCTACTCAAAGACCCACTATTTTTGCGCACACTAGTGGTAACGTGTTCTGAATGTAAAAGAACAACGATATATATATGCCCCCAAAAATGAACAGGTCCAATGCTAGACGAAGGTTTCTAGGTGTGTAACATTTCTTGACCGTCCCCTGCAAGTTTACCCAGGTCTTCCAAAACATATGTTGTTTATTCTGTACTATATGTTTATAGATGATCATGTTCCCTTATCATACACCCTATGATGGTCCCCTCGGTACTTTAATTATGGGACAGCCATATGATTTCTTCCCAAATCCCACATTGTGGTTTCCTAAAATTAGGGGTACCCCCAGTCATCATCCATTTATAGATGGGATTTTCCGTTACAAACAATCCATTTGACTTTTGGGGTACCCCATTTATGGAAACCCCCACATATGAATCAATCCCAAATCCATCGTTTCTGATGCTTCAACACAACGTTTTTGGTGGCAAGCGGCCACCAAGTCTTCAGGCAAACGGTGAGCCAGCCTAGACACTGAAAATCCTCATCGACCGACTTCGCTCTGAGTTTTGGCACCTGCGACAGCTGATGATCCCTTTCGTGCAACAAGCAAAAACAAAAAATTGAGCTCTTAATGAATCCCAATATAGAAATGATGATGATTTTTCAAACTTTGACTGGATTTACCATCATATTGGATTTGGGACACCAGTTCGTGCATAGATCCAATACTATAAACCAGGGATCCAAGGCGAATGTCTAGTACTTGGTGGGAGGAATTCATGAACCAAACCCCAGAAGCAACCGGGGGTTCTTATGGACCATCCCAAGTTCCGGCTTGACCGCTGACCGCTTTGTGGAAAAAAACTGCACCGGAAATGTGTGGCAGCCTCAACCACAACGAAACCACCAAGATGCCAAGCTCTCGAAAAGACTGCAATCTATAGTTAATGGAGTTTATTAACCAACGATGTATAGATATAATATATGGTAATATATGTACCTTGCCACCATCGCACAGTGGTTGATTCCCCCAGCCCACGCCACATTGAGACAGCATGAACAGCACCAAGATGGAGGAGGTCTAATAAGCAACCGACATGGGTAAGCAACGTACAACAAAATTATATTAATAACGAACCTTCGGAGAAACATGGCCTAATCAAAGTTCCAAACCCAAATTGAAAACTTAAAACACCAGGTGGTTTCCAGGGGTTATGTATATATATATATTAAATGTATACAAATATTTATTTTTAATATAAATAAATATATATATATATATATGTATAATATATATATATATGTATGTATGTATACATATATGTTTATATCTTAACTTGATGGTTTCTTTGTTGCGAACACATCTTTGGAAGCCAAAAAAAGCTGGATCTTCTGCGGGTGAGCCTCCAGCAGCTCGAGCGTTTGGGAGCGGTTTGATGACATTCCTCACATTCCTGGCACTGCGGCATCCAAGTCGTCATAGGAATCCCAGTCGCTGTCGTGGAACGTGGGAAATGGCAATTTCCGCCAAAATGAGGGATATTACCTATATATGGTCTCGTTTTCCGTGTTCCTACCCCCCTCCCAATGGTATGGGTCCCCAGGTAGCACCCCCTTCCCGTCTATTTACAAACTATTGGCAGCATTTCTGAGGTCCAGCCTCGTATTTGCTAGGTCTTTGCAGCATTTCTGACTACCAGCCTCGCATTTTCTAGGTACATGCTACCTTTTAGACGACCTACGTAGCACAGATACTCCCTCAAAGTACCTACGTGCTACCTATAGTCATATATAATCATATATACATGTGCTATGTATCTACTACCTATTTACCACGTATTTATATATATACACATACATACATATACATATACATATACATATACACATATATAGATACATGTATATATACATATAGATACATATATATATATATATATATTGTACTCTGCACATAATATATTTACATGTATATATATAATATCCAAACATATCATGTAATGTCATATCATATTTAATGTACCTAGGATGGAAATTGGACGTGTTCCTTTATGATGGATATGCAGATTAAGCTATATAACAGTAGTGGGGACATCTGAGAAGGTGAACCCTGAAAACCCCCAACAGACCTTCTGAGCCAGGAATTCGGAAGAAGTAATTTGGAAGTCTAGGTCATGTTCATCCCATGCTTTATCCTTTCCAGATCGACAGGCAAAAATGCCCATATCTTCGAACTTCGGGCATCCACCATTTCTGATGAGAAAAGACACCTGTCTTCCGTCCTCATGCTGTTGTTCCGAGCACCACACTCGGCCAGGTACCTCGCAGCATCCATGGGAGGATCCTAGGGCCTAGGACCAGTCCCTCCATGCTTGGGATTGAGGAGATGCCATGTTTTATAATTATTGTTCTATAGTATTTTATAGAGGAGCATTGATATGATATATATATATATATATACATACACATAAATCCTGGTGGATCTTAGATACATGCCAAGAAATCAAATTTTAAGCTGATTAGTACGTGTTACCATTGATGCAAACACTTAAAGCCCTAGAGTATCGAACCAAGGTTGGCCCAGAAATGGGATAATGATGAGATCTGATAGTTTAGCCATGTGCGTCATGGAAAATCACATTTTTCCATATTAGTAAATCATCGATCTAAATGGACCACGGTTTATATAATTTACATTTAGAATCATTTAGATATCCGGATTGAATAAATTCACTGGTGGCAAACCTGGTCCTTTTACATATTACACAACCTCTCCTGCAAAGTGTTACCCTCTGGTCATTTGTTACATAGCTATTGAACATGGCACATAGAAATAGTTGTTTTACCCACTAAAATGGCGATTTTCCATAGTTATGTAAACGTTTACCGGAGGCTGAGTCCCATATCATCCCATTATTCACCATTGTTAACCCATTGTAACAAACCATAAAAAATCACATCAAGTCACAATTTATAGTGGTTAAGTCACCATTTACCAGAGGGTAAATTATTGGAGGGGACTGACACATGATATCGACTTGATAAACGAAGGCCCGAGGCATGAGAAACGTGGCGTCACAACATAACAGAAGTATATATATATATATAAATATGCATATATATATACACACTGTATATATATATACATCATATACATACTGTTTTGATGTTAAAACAACAAAACAACAACATCTGGATATATATATATATATGTATATATATATATGTATAAACATATACGCAGGGATATCCTGTGCATGCAGTGACAGGCTCAGTCTATCACAAAATCTCTAGATTGTTCGATTGTTGACCAAGCAACATCTTGCTTTTTTCACCTCAATGGAGCGTTGCAATATATTCCAGCATCTGATATCCTCGAACCTTAGTACTTTGCTGAGCCTCCTTTTACTTCGACTGATTTATGGTTACTTCACCAGCTACTATCATCTCAAGTCAGGTCAAGTTCCACCATGCAGACAGGAAACATGTGCCGCATGGAATACTTCGCATGCGCCTGGGCGCGAGTAGGCAACGGGTGAAGCTTATTGTGTACCCCTAAGGAGTATTCAGATGATTAAAACAGCACAAGTGCATGAACAGTCCAGTACTGTACATGTGTATAATATATGAACAATCAATATATTATCCACATACACAATATCATATATATATATATATATACGTGTATATCTATATATATATATATATGTATGATGAACAGTCATAAACTATCATGTGTGTTTCGTTGGCACCCCAATGGAATGGTTTGTTGCTGGCTTCAACCTTGAAAAGTATGTTGGTCTCCCCAGCGATCTTGGTTACACAATGGTAATCAAGACATGTAGCCTCTGGTGCCATCAAAGATAGATAATAATGGGGATACAATCGGGATATCATGGTTTTAAATGGGTGTATAGGGATTTTGATGGGATAGTCATTGGGATACAATTGGGAATATACCATCCGGTGTCATCAAAACTTCATCAAACACGCTGTGGGGTAATCCCTGAGGCATGGGAACTCATCCAACGAAATTGGGGATCCCGCGCCCCACGTTGAAACTTACCGGATCTTACCAGTGTTAAGTCGGCAAGATCCAGACCCTTCACCGGTCTGATTTATGGATTGTTTATGGATGGTTTATGGATATCTCACCCCTTCACATTTCACAGCAATCATTGGATGTCTTGACGTCTTGGCCCTCGATCCGGGAGATCCCCGACATATTTCGGCATCACAAAGCCTGAGGACGTCTGCCTGGAGGCGAGCAAATTCTATGGGGTTAATACCAAAGACAGGGGAGCAACAGCTTAAATACCAATGATGTCAGAAAAATAGATGAAACCAATAAGACTAAGATTGTGTTAAAAATACTTGAGGTAATCAATTACTTCAAACCACAGGTTTTTGTGATACAAAATCCTCAATCAAGTTTGTTGAAAGAACAAGAGTTTATGAAAAAAAATCCCTACTATGATTTAGACTTTTGTAAATATGGATTTGAATACAAGAGACGGACTAGGCTTTGGACAAACTTGGAAGGGTGGCAACCCAGAGCATTGTGTAAAAGGGACTGTGGCAATGTAATAGAAAACGAACATATTGAAAAAGGGCAAAGGCTGCCATCAAATGAAATTCCTGAAGCATTGGTTCAAGAAATGTTCAGTGCTATAAATGTTGTGTGTTTTAGTTAGGGGTGTTCAGTGCTTGAAAATTGGTGTTTTCAGTGCTTGAAAACGGGTGTTTTCAGTGCTTGAAAACGGGTGTTTTCAGTGCTTGAAAACGGGTGTTTTCAGTGCTTGAAAATAGGTGTTTTCAGTGCTTGAAAATGGGTGTTCTCATTGCCTGAAAACTGGTGTTTTCAGGGTCTGAAAATGTTTTTTGCCGTTTTCAGTGTCTGAAAATGGTTGTTTTCAAGGTCTGAAAATGGTTGTTTTCAAGGTCTGAAAATGGGTGTTTTCAAGGTCTGAAAATGGATTTGTGCGGGGTGTGTCTCAATACTACCTAGGCTGGATATTCCCATTATCTGGGCTGGATAATTCCATTATCTGGGCTGGATATTCCCATTATCTGGGCTGGATAATTCCATTATCTGGGCTTGTTTTTCTCAAAATCTAGGCTGGATAATCTGGATGGCTACAGCCTATACATTAGGATGTATAAGGTCTATACATTTAGATGTATAAAGTCTATACATTGGGATGTCTAGGGGCTGGACAATGGGTATCGAGCCTATGGACGTATTCAGCATTTGAATACAGAATAAGGGTGTATTCGGATACTGAATACGGGCTATTCAGCATTTGAATACAGAATAAGGGTGTATTCGGATACTGAATATGGGGGGTTGTTATTATCTAAAGGGTGGAGCACCCCTCCTTGCCTAAATTTTAGGCAATCCCTTTGCCTCAAATTTAGGCAACCCACTTGTCTAAAATTTAGGTAATCCCTTTGCCTAAAATTTAGGCAGTCCCTTTGCCTAAATTTTGGACTGGTAAGATGGAGAAATCCTGTTTATGGCATTGATTTTTCAATTATGTTTATGTATTGGCTTTACCATTGCCGAGGTCTGGCTTCATAGATAAATTGTTTCATAATTTATCTTAAAGTCCAACTCATAGGTTTTAGCATTACAACAGGCTTTTGAATGAGGGTAAGTGTATGGTTTGTTGTTAAGGTTTTTGGTATAGTATTCTTTATGGTCTATTGTATTGTTTAGGTTGTTTGAGTTTTTTGTTTTGTTGTTTGTTGTTTTGATTTAGGTTATTGTTTTCTATAAGGTTTTGCTCCCCTGCCTGTGGTATTAAACCCATAGAATTTGCTTGTACAATAATGTGGGCGGTTAGATGAGAAAGACGGGGGAGCACAATGCTAACTGTTTCAAGGCCACTGGACTCTCATGCGCATTTAAAAAAATGCAATGTAATTGCCATGTTCGGAGTATATCCCCCTTTCCGATACACACTGACACATGATCATACATTTTGGTTGCTTACATACTCATGTTTGGCTAGTCAGCTCAAGAGATATGATGCGTCCATTAAAAAATCCATGTTGGGCTAATCCCCCCCGTTCACTACCCATCTGCCCAATTCGGCCAAGTGGCTGAGGTACTTCGGCTTGGTCGTTTGGCACTTCCTCCTTGAGGGGGTCCAAACGAGAGACCAAGCATGGCAACCAAAGGAGCGACCAAACATGGGGACCTGAAGCAACCAAACATTGGAAATTCGTGGCCAATCTTAGATACTTTGAGAAACATAGTGCTATAGGATGCTATAGGATGCTATAGGAATATATCCCCGTTCATATATAACAAAAGATTAAAGTATTGTGAAGGATAGTGAAGGTCTTAAGTACAATATTACCAGGAATGTCTTGAACAATCATGGAAATCCACAAATTCTTGGACTTTAAGTCAGTCAAAATTAAATTAGAACATTATATATAAAGTAGCGATGAGAATGTGGATGACACCTTGAAATGCAAAATGTGTTGAGCACGCTGCTTGGTTTCAACTATCCATGGCCCCTTCGCAGATGCTCCTCTTCCAGGACCTCTGCAGGTTCCTCAATGGGAACCAAGATTGGTTGACCTCAAGTGCCGCCGGGAACTAAATCAATATCATATATATATAAATAATATCTATCTACCTATCTATCTATCTATCTGTCTGTCTGTCTGTCTATCTATCAATCTATCAATCTATCAATCTATCAATCTATCAATCTATCAATCTACCAATCTATCAATCTATCAATCTATCAATCTATCAATCTATCTGTCTGTCTATCTATCTATCTATCTATCGATCTATCGATCTATCGATCTATCGATCTATCGATCTATCGATCTATCGATCTATCGATCTATCGATCTATCGATCTATCGACTATCGATATCGATCTATCGATCTATCGATCTATCGATCTATCGATCTATCGATCTATCGATCTATCGATCTATCGATCTATCGATCTATCTATCTATCTATCTATATGTCTTTGTTTATATGATTCTTTCCAATTTCCAACTTGGGAATCCCCTTGAAAACACCGCCCTGAGTCTCCCTGCTACAAATCCTCCGGCCCAAGGACGCGCAGCTGCGGCTGGCACCGCTGGCACCACTGAGCCTGCTGGCCTTGCTGGCCTTGCTGGCCATGGAGGGTGTTGCAGGACGCACCTCCTTGGCGCGGATCAATGAGGATATTGATATTGTGGATGGAAGAAATCCTGCACCAGTTGGTAACTAGTGACACTAGTGGTAACTATAAAACACTGCAAATAATGAGATTATAATGGAATAAACCATCTACCAACTGGTGCAGGATTTCTTTCACTCACAGTATCACGGGAGAAATAGGGAGATATGGAGGTTTTACCAGCAACTGGCAACTGTAGGTTTTTTTGGAGGGATATATATATATACGTATATATATATAATGGGATAAAAATTGGCTGGGATGCGTCATCAACCATTTTGGACTGGAAAATCTCCCAACATCTCCCAACAATGGATGTTCGTAGCTGGACTAATCATCGAACCACCAATTTGAGTTTTTCCAGCAAGCCATGTTTGATTACCGGATGGTATCAATGGTGAATGAACGGGAAGTATACTACCCTCTGGATCCAGCTGTACCTTCTCAGGAAGTGTCTGGATCCACATAGGGATGGATATGATGGGGATATAATGGGGATATTAAGATTTTATCATCTGGATAAATCGAGGCTTAACCAACAAGAGTAGGGATACAATGGGATAGAATAAGATATGCGACACAGTTATGCAGGGATTACCATCACCCATGGACTGGAAATCCCTATGAACAGCAGCATGGCGGGGTGCATCCCAATTAGTAATTAGTAAGTGGTTTCAAATCATATCTGTGTAAGATTGTGTAGGTATATGTGCAGTGTACAGAAAAGAATAACTAACCCATGAGTAAGTCGGTGAACTAATATGCTTGTTACCCACTTACTAACTTGGATGCAAATCCAAGTAAAGAAGGATTTGCATGTTCTGCATGAAGCATTACGTATGTATTTCGGTGTTTAATACCTTTAATTACTCATATTTGCAAAACTATGCAATCATATAGTTGGTCATTTAATTGTCCCTATATTTAACCGAAAGTGTTAATGGAACGGACAGTGATTCCGGGTAAATTATAGATTATAACTGCTGAAACAAATTGGCCATGTGGGATAGTTCCCCTTAATAACCAGAATGTCTATGCATTCCTTTCTAGTAATTTCATGGAGAGGACAATGACAGCTTCTACCAAAGATACGTATACAGATGTTACATGTTTACGTACTGTTCGTACGACGCATAAATAATTCTAAGCAGGTTTGGAATACTGATGAAAGGCCTTGATCCCAGAAATGGAGTTGCAGATCTGAATTCTGAACTTTTTTCAGAGTTCGATTTTGAAATCCAGAGTCATTCTACCTTCTGACAATTTGATATAGCTATCGAAAATGGCCTATAGAATCAGAAATAGTTTATTTACCTATGAAAAAGATGGTGATTTTCCAGTTCGCAAACTGTAAACGTTTACCAGGCCGGGTACTCTTCGTTTGTGGCCTCTAAGTGGTTCGCCAGTCACAGCCACCATGGCGCCCTGAGGCGCCAGCAATGTAGGACGGATGTTTGATCGCTCGGAAGCCCAGACTTTTGTAGAGCGGCACCTGCCATCCCATGGTGAAAAATCTGATCCATCTGCTTGTTGCGGAACACCCGTATATCACCCCCCCAAAAAATCTCAAACTCTGTAAAATCATCCCAGTGAAAAAGAGAACAAACAGCAATCACTTAAAAATAATATGTAACAATAAGATATAAAATGTTGATACCCAGCCAGTTTTGCTTTTAAACAAGCAATTTACCATCTCCCAAACTAACATACGCCTTGAGTATCATCCATGTCTGAAGGAAAGTAGTTTTCCAACTTCCGCTTCGGTCCAAATTTGATATTGTTGGTGATAAAAGTTCCATATCCCTATTCTATCCTCATCGCCCATTTTATCCCCACTATATCCACAGAAAAACAGCTGTTTCACATCACATCAGACCAGTTTCCAGGTGTCCAAACGCTACACAAAACACAAAACACAACCCCAGTTGCCTTGGTCACCGGCACATTGAGCCTGCGCTCCTGGGGGGTTCGAATGTATGAATCAAGGCTTGGGGATGGATGTTCCAAAAAAATAATGGGTCATTTGGGGGTAGACTAATATCACTTATGAGTGCTTATGAACTCTAACATACTCTGACACTCAAAACGGTCAATGATGTAGAAACGGTTGGGGTTCAAAACGCTTCCACAAAAAAATGAGCCAACATACTTGTAGACCCACTTCTGCAAAGGTGATGGCCAAACTCCCGGGTCCCAATCCGATGCTTCTCTCGAGGGTATCAAAGCCATGTAGGCTTTGAACAACAGACGGCATATAGCTGCTCCAATCGAATGTATGGGGATAATACAGATACATCTATAATAATATGTATAATATATACATATATGTGTATGCATATGTGTATATAATGTATATGTTGCAATTACTGTATCTCCTTTAAAAAAAACAAGATGGAGGGTTGAATACAAAAAGCGACCAAACCTCTCAGATATGTTGGTCTGCAATATAGCTCTAACTGTCACCGGTCTATATCGTCTGACTATGTCTGACTCATTTCAGACATTGTCAATGCTGATAAAATCTGCTCACAAATGCCTGCTTGGATGTGCATCCCAAATAGTAAGTGGTTTATAACATATATATATATAACCCATATGGGGGTATCTTCAAATTGGGGATCCCCAAGTTTTCAATACTCACATGGTCTAATTCGGATGATTTGGGATACCCCTTCACTTTGGAAACCTCCATAGGTCCCCAGCTGACCTTTAGGTATTTTTCTTCAGCTTCACAGCGCCTGCCATAGACCAACCTTCGCCGACCGAGAAAAAGCGGTTCCTGAAAAAAAACATGGCTTTTCTTGGGAAAACCTATGCCTGAAGCCATGGATTTTCCTCGAAATATAGGGCCTTCAACCTTAAATCTTCCACGAAGCCAATTCAATTTCATATGGATAGCCACAAAAGCCTGCAATGATACCCTCCGGTAATCAAGCGGCCCACCACGCTTGAGTACCGGAGGGTAACATTCCATTAATATGACATGAGTATCGATTAATATCCCATCACTATCCCATTCTTAAGAGCCCACTAAGACCTGCAAACATATATATATTATAAACAATATATATATATGATATATATTATAATATATAATATAAAATATATAATCTATAAAATATATAATAATTTATATATAATGTATTATTGCATCATATGATATCATATGTGCCATGGTCAAAACATGGTCGTCCATATCATAATGGGAATCCAAACATACTGGGTATATAAACCCTTATCAATGGATTGATGACCATCCCCTTTTATGGGAAAACAAGACAGGTCTTGAGTTGTGACCAAGGCCCATGCCAGGTGAGCAACTCCATGGGCTCTAGTTATATCCTCCATAAACCATAGTTAGTTAGCCAAGTTATTTGCACCAACTTAGCTACCTCCCTTGGGCCTCACCGGGCCTACGTTTCATTGCCTCCAACATCTTCCAACCGGCTTTCGGCTTTGCCAAGGCACTCCATGACCCACCTCTCTGTCTTGGCAGAGAAGCCTCCCATGGGAGTCATCATGGGAGCATGACTTCGCTATGATTTTGGCTTCGGCATTGAACATCTAGCGAAAGACTTGAATATACTCTTAACGCACCACTCAAAATCAGAGGCAATGGAAATAGTACATTGGGATATAAGCGCCAATTGTGGGTTTCCAAGCATGTGATGGAGTATCAGCTAAACCAAAAATGACAAAGAGTTCTGACTTGAATCGAACCAACGGAAGCGACCAAATTATGGAACAAAAAACATGTTGCTATCAAGATCCCAACTTTTTCTATCCGCAACATGTTCTTATTTGCAGGGATGTTTCACCTAAGATCTTCCCAAAAGTTCGAATCTCTAGTTTCAATCGAAACAATATATCAAAAAAACAGGTTGCTATAAACTATAAAGTTCCCAGCTTCTCTAGATCTAGGTTAAAATCCACTAAAAACCACCCAAAAAAAGGCGCCATTCGTTGGTCGTTTCTTCCCATCCTGGCAACGGTGGCCGAGCACTAGCGCTGGGCACTTCGCCCTTCTCATCCTGCAAGGAATAGCCAGATGCTCATGGGATTTCACCGGCAAACATGGTGATTTACTGGGATATTTTGGGGATCTATTGGGGACAATCATTTGGAACATGATTTCGATATATCCTACCAAAATTTTGAGATCACATGGGCGAATGATGGTGATAACAGTGGGGAATTGTTCATGGAGTAGGGATATAATATTGATATAATATTAATAATACCATTATTATATTATATATAGCATGATTTAATATTATATTTCTTATATCCCAATAAATAATGCTTGAAATATGGATTTGTCAGAAGGGAATTCAGCCGTCACAGCCGGTCACAGCCCCCAAGGGGGGGCTGAAACGATCAACCAAGTGGGAATATGTTCTGTGATCAACACATGGTGCCCCAGTTCGGAATCGCTAAGTTGGTGCCAATATGTCCAATGTCACGACATGGTCTTTGTTGGTGATATATCTATAGTTAATGGGACTATAACCCATTTATAACTGGGGGGCGGCATCTTGTACCATATACCGTTGATTGAAAACAGCTAGAAGGAAAGGCCCGAAAGAATCAGAAAGGCCCTGTTATAAGTTGATTTGGTTCCGGTGCCCATCTAACAAACTATAGATTTATCTGTCATCGACCCTAGTTAATCTAAGTGTAAGCCACTTGGCTAACTATGGAGCACCACTTTGAAGTAGCATTTGCACCCCCTTCAAGCAACCTCCAACCATTGGGGATCATGATATATCCCAACGCACAAAATGGAACATTTACTAAACCTGTAGTAAACAATGTTTTGGGGTATCCAATTTGGACCCACTGCCATACAAACCAACTTGGATCTGTGGTGACCCTTGCAGCATTGACATCAAAGAACCTGGAACATGCATATTTGCAAACAGTGTCCCCTCGCCAGTTTCAAGTTGTTGTATATATATATAATACTACCACAAACACTAATAGGCCTCGTCAAAACAAAATAGCAAAAATTCACACAGGCCTATCTTTCTGGCTCCACAGTCCAACATAGATATCTTTGATAACCCATAACCTTTCTGGGCATCACAAACCCTTCCTGGCCACTCATCTGGCAACCGGCAGCGATGGCAAACTACTCTTTGTTTGACGTAGCGATGCAAAACTATCTTTTGAAGTTATACATAGCTCTGGTAAAGTGGGGACATCCACCACGTGTACATTGTTTATTGAAGAATGTAGGGACTTCCTTTACCACTCTTGCTCATCAAAGCAGTGCTAAGTTTGTTGGCTAAAACAATCTTGTACACAGAACCGAACAAACTGTGAGAAAAAAAATGCCAGTGTAAGAGTGTTGAAAATTCGGTTTGAACACGTAAACGTAACTAGAAGATCTACTGGTCATGTCTTGACTTGAGGTCAGGACTCCATGATGTGCCAACATGACTTTTGAGCCATTTGACACAGGACATGCTTGGGCTGCAATTTTCCGTGTATCTGTCTCTTGTCAAGAAAGGCAAGGTTGTGAACTATTTCGATCATCAGCACCATGGCAATCATGGTCATCCTTCTCCTCCTCATGTTCATCATCATGTTCATCATCCTTCTCCTCCTCATGTTCATCATCATGTTCATCATCATGTTCATCATCATCATCATCATCATCGTCATCATCATCATCATCATCATCATCACCATCACCATCATCAACAGTAACATCATGCCCGCACCTACATTCACAAACATCCATGAATACCATCTGGTAGCCATACATTCCTGGCTAGCCATGTTTGATTACCGCAGGGTATCCTTCAATGTCCATCGACCCTGCCATGAGTTGGGGCTAAAGTCCGACTTTTCTCAGGGTGAAGTTGTTGTTTGAGAGGATAGGTAAATCAAACCATGACATTCCAATGATTATAGACATCCAACCCTTTCTCATTTATCACATTTTGTCAACTCCCAAAACCAGCCCCATAAATACAAAGATATCTTGGCTAATCAGTGTGCTTGTTAATCCACATGTTGTTTGCTTAAACCCAATAAAATTCAATGTGTTTGGTGACTAAAACCAAATACCATATATCATGAATCATATACCCTTCGGTAACTTAACAGTTTGCTATGGAAGCCATGCACCATATTTGTAGATAAATTAACTATTTAATATCTTGATTTTCTATAGCTATGTTAAATCATCAAAGGCCGTTAGATTATGATCTTATATTATCCACTATTATCCCATTGTCATCCCATTCCACTACTATCCAATGGTGAGTTATCAAAGTATAAAAGGGATTGAAAGGGTATGATTGTTGGTTCAATCTCGGTATTTGTTCACAGGGTGATAAACTTCTCGTTCTCGCCCAAACATGCTGGACCTCGCTCTCCTCCTCCTGCATTCAAAAATAAGTTCCACTACTAGATATCACTGTATATAGTGTGTATATATATATATACAGTAAATATATATATATACAGTATATATATATGCATGTATTAAATATTTACACAGTATGTAAATATAGAAATAAAAAGATATATTAAAATATATATGCATATACATATATATATATATATGTAAATATATACTATACAGATGTAATTTGTTTATACTAGTGGACTAGCACATAGAATATCCGATTTCATTGACTATGCAGTTAAAATAGCCTTAAAATCATATGCCCCCGGGGTAAAACCTCTGCACTTAGAATATTCCATTTTTGCACATGTATAACATAATTTAAAAATAAAGCATTGTTTTAATAGAAATTTAGGACTGTTTCACAAAATCGATGCACATAGAATATTATTTGCATGCGTTCCTATGTGCAATGGGGATGCTTTGTACATGTAAACATGATAAACATGCATGTACATATGTATATATGTATGTATATAGAAGCTAGCTAGCAGCTATTTAGAAGCTATTCAGCAACTATTTGGAAGCTATTTAGCAGCTAGCTAGCAGCTATTTAGAAGCTATTCAGCAACTATTTGGAAGCTATTTAGCAGCTTTTTAGCACCTATTTAGTAGCTATTCAGCAACCATGTGAACTATTTAGCAGCTAGCTAGCAGCTATTTAGAAGCTATTCAGCAACTATTTGGAAGCTATTTAGCATCTATTTAGTAGTTATTCAGCAACTATTTGGAAGCTATTTTGCAGCTAGCTAGCAGCTATTTAGAAGCTATTCATCAACTATTTGGAAGCTATTTAGCAACTAGCTAGCAGCTATTTAGAAGCTATTTGGCAACTATGTGAAAGCTATTTAGCAGCTAGCTAGCAGCTATTTAGAAGCTATTCAGCAACTATGTGAAAGCTATTTAGCAGCTAGCTAGCAGCTATTTAGAAGCTATTCAGCAACTATTTGGGAACTATTTTGCAGCTAGCTAGCAGCTATTTAGAAGCTATTCAGCAACTATTTGGAAGCTATTTAGCAGCTAGCTAGCAGCTATTTAGAAGCTATTCAGCAACTATTTGGAAGCTATTTAGCACCTATTTAGTATTTATTCAGCAACTATTTGAAAAAAACTATTTAGAAGCTATTCTATTCAGCAACTATTTAGAAGCTATTCAGCAACTATTTGGAAACTATTTAGCAGCTAGCTAGCAGCTATTTAGAAGCTATTCAGCAACTATTTGTACACTATTTAGCAGCTAGCTAGCACCTATTTAGAAGCTTTTCAGCAACTATTTGGAAGCTATTTAGCAGCTAGCTAGCAGCTATTTAGGAAGCTATTCAGCAACTATTTGGAAGCTATTTAGCAGCTAGCTAGCAGCTATTTAGAAGCTATTCAGCAACTATTTGGAAGCTATTTAGCAGCTATTTAGTACTATTGAGTAGTTATTCAGCAACTATTTGGAAGCTATTTAGCAGCTAGCTAGCAGCTATTTAGAAGCTATTCAGCAACTATTTTAGAAGCTATTCAGGAAAGCTATTTAGCAGCTAGCTAGCAGCTATTTAGAAGCTATTCAGCAACTATAGCAGCTATGAAGCTATACAGCTATGTTAGCAGCTAGCTAGCAGCTATTCAGCAACTATTTGGAAACTATTTAGCAGCTAGCTAGCAGCTATTTAGAAGCTATTCAGCAACTATTTGGAAGCTATTTAGCGGCTAGCTGGCAGCTACTTAGAAGCTATTCAGCAACTATGTGAAAGCTATTTAGCAGCTAGCTAGCAGCTATTTAGAATCTATTCAGCAAATATTTGCACACTATTTAGCAGCTAGCTAGCAGCTATTTAGAAGCTATTCAGTAACTATTTGGAAGCTATTTAGCAGCTAGCTAGCAGCTATTTAGAAGCTATCCAGCAACTATTTGGAAGCTATTTAGCAGCTAGCTAGCAACTATTTAGAAGCTATTCAGCAACTATTTGGAAGCTATTTAGCAGCTAGCTAGCAGCTATTTAGAAACTATTCAGCAACTATGTGAAAGCTATTTAGCAGCTAGCTAGCAGCTATTTAGAAGCTATTCAGCAACTATTTGGAAGCTATTTAGCAGCTAGCTAGCAGCTATTTAGGAGCTATTCAGCAACTATTTGGAAGCTATTTAGCAGCTAGCTGGCAGCTACTTAGAAGCTTTTCAGCAACTATTTGGAAGCTATTTAGCAGCTAGCTAGCAGCTATTTAGAAGCTATTCATCAATTATTTGGAAGCTATTTAGCAGCTATTTAGCACCTATTTAGTAGTTATGCAGCAACTATTTGGAATGTTTTTAGCAGCTAGCTAGCAGCTATTTCGAAGCTATTCAGCAACTACTTGGAAGCTATTTAGCACCTATTTACTAGTTATTCAGCAACTATTTGGAAGCTATTTAGCAGCTAGCTACAGCTATTTAGAAGCTATTCAGCAACTATTTGGAAGCTATTTAGCAGCTAGCTAGCAGCTATTTAGGAGCTATTCAGCAACTATTTGGAAGCTATTTAGCAGCTAGCTATATTTAGAAGCTATTCAGCAACTATGTGAAAGCTATTTAGCAGCTAGCTAGCATCTATATTTAGAAGCTATTCAGCAACTATTTGGAAGCTATTTAGCAGCTAGCTAGCAGCTATTTAGAAGCTATTCAGCAACTATTTGGACACGATTTAGCAGCTAGCTAGCAGAAATCTAGAAGCTATTCAGCAACTATTTGGAAGCTATTTAACAGCTAGCTAGCAGCTATTTAGAAGCTATTCAGCAACTATTTGGAAGCTATTTAGCAGCTAGCTAGCAGCTATTTAGAAGCTATTCAGCAACTATTTGGAAGCTATTTAGCACCTATTTAGTAGTTATTCAGCAGCTATTTGGAAGCTATTTAGCAGCTAGCTAGCAGCTATTTAGAAACTATTCAGCAACTATTTGGAAGCTATCAGCTTAGCAGCTATTCAGCAACTATTTGGAAGCTATTTAGCACCTATTTAGTAGTTATTCAGCAACTATTTGGAAGCTATTTAGCAGCTAGCTATATTTAGAAGTTATTCAGCAACTATGTGAAAGCTATTTAGCAGCTAGCTAGCATCTATTTAGAAGCTATTCAGCAACTATGTGAACGCTATTTAGCAGCTAGCTAGCAGCTATTTAGAAGCTATTCAGCAACTATTTGGAAGCTATTTAGCAGCTAGCTAGCAGCTATTTAGAAGCTATTCCGCAACTATGTGAACTATTTAGCAGCTAGCTAGCAGCTATTTAGAAGCTATTCAGCAACTATGTGAAAGCTATTTAGCAGCTAGCTAGCAGCTATTTAGAAGCTATTCAGCAACTATTTGGAAGCTATTTAGCAGCTAGCTAGCAGCTATTTAGAAGCTATTCAGCAACTACTTGGAAGCTATTTAGCACCTATTTAGTAGTTATTCAGCAACTATTTGGAAGCTATTTAGCAGCTAGCTAGCAGCTATTTAGAAGCTATTCAGCAACTATTTGGAAGCTATTTAGCAGCTATTTAGCACCTTTTTAGTAGTTATTCAGCAACTATTTAGAAGCTATTTAGCAGCTAGCTAGCAGCTATTTAGAAGCTATTCAGCAACTATTTGGACACTATTTAGGAGCTAGCTAGCAGCTATTTAGAAGCTATTCAGCAACTATTTGGACACGATTTAGCAGCTAGCTAGCAGCTATTTAGAAGCTATTCAGCAATTATTTGGAAGCTATTTAGCAGCTAGCTAGCAGCTATTTAGA